GGAGGCAGGAGTTTCAAATGGTATAGATGGTTTGTTTTTAATAAAGAGTTTAAGTCACATACGTTGTTGGTGTAAAAAAAAAAATTTGCAGTACTATCAGGTAGTCCAATTAATATCTATAGGTGAGTTTTCTTAAAATATAAAATCTATAATCTTGAAAATAAAATAAGCTACCTGCTATAACATATAAATGTGATCTACGGGTAACTTAAACTCTTTAATAAATAATCAAGATTAACAATCTTATTCATTGTTTTTCATCATTAATTTGTACCTTTGAAGCATATGTTTTTGAGGGAACCAAATTAGCTGCGACTTCAGGGGTAAGACTTGATTTGAGCTTCTTGTACTCTTCTTCTCGCAATGTCACGACCTATCACAATCACAATAAATGAGAAAAAGGACAGTATGTGAACAAATTAACTGTTTGATTTTTACAACTAAAGAGACCTTGACTCCCCCTTGGCATAAGGCAAGGGCAATGGCATTTGCAACTTTCGACAAATGGCCTCCAAGGACCACTTGTGTGGTTCCTTTAGGAATGGAGTTTAGGACCACAGCAACAGCTAGGCTACTTCCATCAACCACCTTCACTTTGAGCTCAGGATGCCTTCTTATGTAAAGCTCACCATTATTATTCAGTTGCTCCTCCTGTAAAATTTCATGTATCGAGGCATGAGAGTTAACTATCACATAGAAATTAAATTTCTCAAAGTAAAAAGTACAAATAGGCATTATTTGAATCATAGCTAGTGGTCATAAATTCCCAAATTGTAATAATATTACAAGATCCATCAGTCCCAAAAAAAATTATACTAACCAGCTGGTGGATTAATTGGGTCATAATAGGTGGTGCGCCTTTTTATAAAAGGGAAAATGGCCATTATTACCCTGTACTATTGTAAATAGAACATATTTGGCCGAATCTGCCATTTTTGTCAATGAGCAGTAATTTGAGGCGAGAGGATTTTGAGTTTTGAGGTCCTTTCCATTGTCCAACATAGTCGAATTTTTCCAGAGATATATCCAACCATTGTTAGCTGTTGCTTTGATAGTCGAAGAACTTCCTTTGGACTCGACAGATCTGGGACTTCACCGGAGTTCATTCCGGTCAACTCTTTCTTTTTCCTTTAAATTTTGCCTTATTTAATTTAAGGGGTTAAATTGGGTTCACTACTAACGGGTCAGTGACTGCAGCGGGTCTTTTAAAATTGGTCGCTGCTTTTGTCGTAACTGAAGGAGAAAGAAAGAGAAGGGGAATAGTTGAGTGGAGACTAGACTGACTTGGCAGCTGACATGGAAAAAATGGAGAGGGTCAGCTGCCACATTGGCCATCCATTAGGATTAAGGGCAATTCCAGGTTAATAATGACCTTTTTTCCTTTATAAAATATATAAATTTCTAGTAATTTTTGAAATTGTTAAAAAATTCAAAGGTAATATTTTGGGCCAAAAACAGGTGTAGAGCTGGTTTTGGGATTTGAGAATTTTGTTTTCAAAATCTGCCAAAATTTGGATAAAATTTATACACAAATAGATTTTACCAAAAAAAATTTAAAAAAAACTTGACAAAATCTATGTCCAAACGGGGCTTTAATACTTCCTCCGTTCCTACATGGTAAGGTTCATTATGTGAGGGTAAAAGTACTCTTATCATTTGTGTGAATTCGGATATAAATTTATTTAGAAATTACAAAAATAGTACTATACACCATAATAGTTAGTAATTTAAATTATTTATAAAATATTTTCCAAAGGCATGGTAAAAAAGAACCTGAATGACTCTCAAAATTATTGATATTGCCACATAAATTACAAAAAAGGAGTATGTTACTCGCCTGATTTAAGAGTCCAAGGCTCAGTACTTTTATGCCTTTTCGGTCTGCTTCCATGATAGCTTCCTCAATTAAATTGTTAATCGTCTCTCTTTGCCATTGCATAAAATACTGCAACCAAATCAAGAAATAGCCCAAAAATAAATAAATACTTGAATAGCAAACATAGTGAAAATGTCGATAAATATTAGTATAAATACTTACTTGTATGCGATATTTTGGGATCGCCCAAGTTTGCAAATTCAGACTCTTGAACACATTTCTCTCAACAGTAAATGTGTGACCATAAATCCAAGTAACCATCATAGACCACAATGTAACAGGCCACATTAACCAAAAATACCACTTAGATGTGTAAGGTTCCGAGGCAAAAGAAGCAAATCCTAGCCTGAGATGGTAAATGGATTCTGGGGTTGTTAAGTGTGTTAGGTGCACCATATCGGGCGACTTGCCTTGCCTTTCAAGTGATTTTTCGTATAATGTGTCTGAAGATTTGTCCAGTGTATCGTAGATGTAATCGTACATTGGCATGAAAAGCGAGTAGTTTGTTCTAAATTGAGTGTGGTGGAGTGAATGGTACCTGTGCAATAAAATAACTGCCGTTAGCTAAATGCGTTCTGAAAAATAAAAATCTTGGGAAATTTGTAAGCTTACTTTATTATGTGCGTCACACAACTGACATTAGTTGTGTGGGGCTTTATTTTGTCTCAGAATAAAGTGAACCCAAAGTTTTGAGGACCCAAATGCGTAAGAATTGGGTCCATTTTGTTGTGAGACAAAGCATCACACAACTGACAAGTTGTGAGGCGCAAAATAAAATTTTTCTTATGTATTCAACTCTTTACGGAAGTATAAAATATTTTTATTTTAATAAAGTTCGTCTTTCCTCGAGTAATGTTTAATTCAAAAATCTACTTTTATATATATATATATATATA